CCCCCCCCCCAGCCCCCAAACAAACACCAAAACCAACAAACCCAATCTCTTGCAGTCATCTGCCTGGATACTGTATCTAAAAGTCAAAGTCAGTATAATAACAAATTTTCACTGTCTTTCCAGTCCAATGGATTATCATTTAGAGATGCTTCCATTAGCTTGATAGAACTTTGCCTTTCCCTGGTTTATTTCCAACTTCTGTGTTTATTTTACAGCTAATGGAGTTGATGAAATGGAAGTTTTTGATTTAAAAAAAAACCCAAACAATGAAACTAGGAATTCTGGGATAATGGTTGCCAGATGTTATATGAACACTAAGGCAAAAGATCTGTATTTATTTTTAAGCTGGGAACCATTAATTTAGTGACAAAATTTCAGTTCAGTGGCTTAATTTCAATCATCCCAAGTGACTGACAAAGATTGAATTGCTCTGCCTGAGAGTTGCTGGCAAAGCTGAGCAATGTCTGCTTACTGTACAGTGTTTAAACATATGTGTTTTGATTGGTTTATGAAAACAAGTGTTGTATGCTAAGACTTTCCATCAATCTGATTGTTTTGTACTAGCTCCATTTGCTTATAATTACAGATCATTTCTTCTTTTAGCAAATGCAGCAGGTGTTTCTCCTGATAGTTCTGTTAAGCAATATAAAGAAGAATAGAAATTGTAGAAAAGCAATAGTAGGCCAAAATATATAAAAGTAAATTGAAATGGAAATGATCAGCACAGCATGCTAAATATTTTCTGTAAAACCATTAGTGAAACACATTGTTTAAGTTTCATCTATAAACAATGTGGCCATTTAAACTAAGTTCTTTTTTTACAATTGACAGTGAAATATCAGGAATAATGGAGACGTTCAGATTTTGTAGAAGAATACATAATTATTTTCTGGAAGTTTACTATTGGGAATTACTGTAACATAATGTTTGTTCAATTTGGAATGAGAAACAGAGCAGAAGGTTTGTGTGGGCTTTTGAGAGCGCCATGTACAGTGAAAAAAATATTGAATATAAACAGTGATATAAAGATAACTACTGATTTTTTTTCCTCTTTTTGCATAAGTATAACTCTTAGGCAGCACCAAAAAAAAAAAAGATGTTTTTAGTTCATAGTCAAGAACACATTTAATTGATAATGTGCTTAATATCTAAAAGGGACTGGATTGAAGCTAACAATAAACATTTCAGAGTACCTAACTCTTCTGAGTTCAGGTCTATATGACTGGGAAGTTCAACAGCTGTAGTTATGACTGTTGACTCCTAGTATTGTTTCCACTTAGTAAATATCTGCAATTGAACAATGTATAGAAATAATGGCTTTATATTTAAATTCAGAGAGAGAGCGAGAGCACCTTGCTCTCTACCCCTTTTAGCTTCTTGCAAGGACCAGTCAGATTCCTGACCATGATCTGAGAAATATATTCTTTAGTAGTTCAACTAATATTAAAGCAGAATAGAAAGAATTTTCCTCTTATGAAAAACACAATCAGGTTCACAAGTCAGATTTTTTTAGTTACAGATTAGTCAATTCCAATACAATGCGGAAATAGCTTTTGAATTGCAACCATTCACTTAATGTGTGTTGTTGAACTGTTATTGGATTTGCAGATGGATACAATGCTGCCTCTGAAAGTCCCAAAGCATCTTCTACTGAAAACAAACAAATCGTACAAGACGAGCAGAGCCAAAGTGAAAGAACAGAAAGTCTTGCCACCAAGGCCAGCCAGAAGAAAGCGACAATAACATGGGTTCACTTAATTCGCTACCACAGTTATTTAAAAAGACTTCATGACACAAATCTCCTATTTGGTATGAATAATTTCTTCCTTCTAGAAAACTGTCATAGGTGAGATATTGTTCTTGGGGGCCAACAGTGTCAGATTCAAAGGCCATCATCTGACATAGTCTCATTTTGAGTTTCTTTAAAGTGCATAAATGTGAAAAGATCTTCACTGAAATCAAGATTTATGTCAGTTTACAAGTGTTGCAAGTGAGGATGTTATTACCTTTTTTTGTAATTATTCATAAGCCTTCATGGTACCAGGAAAAGCATCCCTCAAAATTTAATTGCTATTACTATATCTGAAGCATTTTTTAAAAATTCATAATCTATATTTATTTTAGTTCTAGGTACATCAGACTTAAGTCACATCAGAAATAAATCTGTTCAGTCTGGGGTCCTGTTTGCGAGAACTGAGTGTAGTGTTAAAGGGAAGGCTGAGCATTACTGAATGTGTTTTGACTAAAACCCCAGATGTTATGTGCATACTTGGTTTACTTAACTGTAAACAGAAGACAGTAATAGGTAGCACCTTTCAAAGAGAGTAAGAATCCATTGATTTCAGGGCCCCAGTACTATGCATCTACTTCTGAAGGCCAGCTGCTGCATATACAAGTGACGACCTGATAGGTGAGGACAGAACTAGGTTGTACATAGAGGTGCTGCCTGGAGAGAAACCTAGCAACTCTGAAAATAGCAATTTCGGAGAGGGTTGGGGTTTTTTGCTTGCAGCACCAAATGAAAGGGAAGTATTCTACCTCACCACAGAACTATAAGGACAGTAAGGTATCTACAAGTAGGTGTCAAAGTGTGTATGTATATCTCAGCTGTAATTACCAGTGATGGAGCGTAGGGAGCCAGTAGCTGTCTAAATTAGGGTCTTAACAGCTCTTAGAGCTTCTTTTGACCATATTGAATAAATATGCATTTATTCTAGAGGGTGTTTAGACATCTAGTGAACATACTGATGCTTATGCATCTAAACTTAAGTACCTAAACCTCAAAACTGCACCTTCCGTTTTGTGCTACTTTATAATGTCTAGACAGAGCTTGTTTCATTATCAGATCTCCAGTGCAAAATTGCAATACAAATAGCATAACCTAGTAATAGTTAAGGATAATCGGTATAATTGTTGGAAATGCATTTATTCGATAGTGAATCGATTTACGTATTTTACTATATTTTCAAAATTTATTAATGTTGAATAGCTGTAGAAACTTTACTTTTTAATGGCAAATGATGAGGTAATAAAACTCTCTTTTCAAAGCTTCCCCTAACTCAGGACCTGGATCATTTTCTGCAAGAGATGGACACCTTAGTTCTGTTTTTGACGCAGGGATTGTTCTACGCATAGCAGAAATGCATTCCTTTCTTAAAAAATATTTGCTTGAATATTCAATGTGTTGTCCTGAGAATTTCCCAGAAGAGCTACATGATGTAGAATTGCCACTTGGTAGGCCAGCTGATTCTTCAAAGGTACTTATTTTCTTTCTGATGTTTCAAAAATATGTATTATACTTGCATTTCGCTCAGATTCTTGCTAGTTCCAATGGTGATATTTCTGAGAGCACTATAGAAGAATGAAATTCATTATGCAGAGGATCCGTGCAAAACCAAAATTCTGTGCAAGCAGTGAAAGACACAGTTAACAAACACAAATATCCTTGTGTTATTCACTCCTGCAGAAATGATCTCTATTCCTTGCCCAGTGTATTTAAACCCTAGAAGATTAAGCAGAATGATATTTAAGAAGATTTTATTTTTAGTTAAGTTGGCTGTGCTATTTGGTAGGAGTGAGGCTTTTAATCTTGTAGATCTCCATGTTTCATACCAGAAATGTCCTGGTGTTTGCTTTGTAATTTGTATGTAAAAGCCTCTATATTGTTGATTTGGTCTATAATAAAAACATGATTTAAAAAAAATATAATTAATATTTTCTCAAAATTTGTTGAAGGCCTTGCGTGCCAATTTTTTTACTGATTTTCAGCTGGCTAGAAAATCAATCTTTTCAGATCTCTGGCTTGCGAACAGCCTATTTGAGCTTTCAAATGTAGGCAGTTCAGACTATATTACTCTGAGAAGTCTTGAATTGGAATTCTGGAGCCTACGCTGACCATGGCATATGTATTGAATATTGAATGGTAGAAGTCTTTGAAGATTCAATGTAAAAATAATGGTCTTCAAAGTTTCTCCATCCCACTTCTCACATTAATAATTATCCTAACACTAAAAAATTAAAATGACAGGGTTACTCTCTGGTTTATTTTTTACTTATTATGTTCAGTATTGGATGGAGACGGGGGAGCCTGGAGGAGTGGGAACTTGTTATCTTATAAAAATGAATTAAAATACTTTTGTGAAAGTAGCTTTTCTAGAGTTGGTGAACTTTCTGCAGTGTTGGACAGCATATCATTACTCATTTCCCAACAAAGAGCTGACTGTGCCACTGAATAAATTGTAAATATATGGTATGTGACATTTATAACAGCCATCATATATCAAAAATTATTTTACTCTGTCTGCTCTTTTTTTGACATAATTAGTATTACACTGTCCTAGAATAATAAGCTTCAGAGCTTACTGTCATGTTCGTGACAGGTGCAAGCTGCATAATCATGTGTTAGCTTCACTGTTGTAGACAGCTAACAAGCATAAAGCTCTTACTTTTTTTTAATTCTAAGCTTCATTGCTTTTTATCACAACATTTTTGGAAGCTTTAACTATTCAGAATGCTGTGTAAGTTCTTTTAAAAATGTTACTGTAATTTGATACTGGGATTTTTTAACAGTACAAATAGGTAAAATTTTTGAAAGAATGATTTTTATGTACAAGGTTGTTTTGCTTACAGGTGTCTTTGCAATTCTATTTTTGACTCTTGAAGTTTTTTTCAGCTCTGCTGAACAAAGAATCCAAATTACATTAAGAAGGCTGTAATTAAAACTGTGTGCCCTTTTACATTTTGCATGCTTGTTTTTTACTCCACTCCATGATAGTATGTAGGACTGGAAACACTTAACTAAGACAGTTTTTGTTTTCAGGCTTTTGAGAAAGTTGAATAGATAAATATTTATCTACGTAATTCAGCAACCCTCCAGTTTGACAAAAGCAGTTGTAATATACTTCCTCAAAAAGATTCAATATTATGTAAATAACAAAAGATGCAGTTCAGTGAAAAAGAAAACATACCATATGTTTTAGAAAGAAATACGTGTTGTAAAATGGACTTTTAAGAGCTCTAGTTCAGGGGCATGGCATAAATTACGTTGTTCCCACCTCCATATACGTGTTTTCTCGTAATTTTGTTCACGCTCCATGCTAGCAGGATAGTGGGTGATTCATTGCCAAACTACAGAGCCTGAATGTAAATGATCCTTGTAGTAGGCGAGTGACGCACGCATACCTCGCGGCGTACCGTGGGTTACGGCCACTGTTGTCACCGACTCTGTGGCAGGGATCATCCCCAGTTAACTGTCCCACGCCATACTGAAGGCATACCCATATGCTGAAATGCATGACTTCATCTTTATCTTCAGTTCTACTACCTTTTGATATGGGATGGGAACTGGCTCTACGAAGTAAGATTATGTCACTGTGAAAAAATCTTCTGCTCACCTGCATTTATTGCCCTGTATCCGTCATGAGCTGTAAAATTCTCCAGTTTTTTTTCAGCAACAAACATTCAAAATTAAAAAAGAACTAACTCCCCAGGCAGCTGTTTTCAGTGTCCACATTTTGGAGACACTAACAACCTTTTCAAATAGCTTCAGCATTCCCCCCAAATGTCACTGTTTGGCCTCCTCTGTTCTTTGCAGATCTGCGTAACACTCTGAAAAGCAGAAGAAATGGTATGGTGCTGTTCAGCCTTTAAATCAAATATTTTACAACTTTAGAAAAAGCTTTTATTCATGAATGAATGTTCCTTCACAGTATTCCTCCATTACTTCTCTGGTAAATGACAGCCAAACAGTAACTATTTGATGAATAGCCTGCTAATGTTCCGTATATATTTTAGTAAATATGACATATGACAAATCCTCACAAATTAAGTGACTGAATTTTCAGTATGTATCACCCTTTGTTAGTTACACAGCTAATGAAAAAAACAAATAAAAAAAACAAATAGGTAAACATAAATAAAGCATTAGTCTGACATTCAGTTTACTATTCTAATTATCAATATGTGTAGCTGACAAATTACTTTTTCAGCACTAAATTTGGTAAGGTCAGCAAGTCAAATAATATCTTTTAAGAAAAAAAGTAATGCCATAAGGAAGAGAAGTCAAAGGTAACAATTATTGTCACTGTAGGTGTCTCTAAGTCAGCCCAGAGGTCCTTTGTGTTACCTTCAGAAATGTCTCATCACGTGAACTTTGAAAAGCCTTAACTTGGTAAAATGGACACCTTTTAAAACTACCCATTTATCTAAATAAGCATATATTTGTGCAGGAGTCAAAGTCATACAGATTCTAGTAGACACTAGATTATAATGGATTTTGCATATTACACTAGAAAAAATACAAAATTTTCTTCTGTGTTTCAGATGTCTCTTGAAATTACTGGAATTACATCAAAGATGTCACATGTGAGAACAGCTTCTCCGGTGTCTGTCATTGCAGAAGCAAACAGTCAGACGGAGAGTAGGGCAGCAAACGCTTCAAATAAGGAAATTAACATTCAGTGGTACATTCCTTCTCTGGCAAAGCCATCAAACGATACAGAGACTAAGGTACAACTACACCAAAGCAGTTCCTTAGGTATTGGAACAAATTAGGTCTTATTTCCAATTAATATTTGTGCTATGACTGATTAGCTTTTTAATTGAATTATACATATGCTGATTGGCAAGCTGGACAGCAGGGAGCTGTATATTTACTGTGCTGCAAACCTGCTATGCAGGACCAACAGAATGCCCTGACAGTTTTTTGGTGGCAGGCCAAAGAAATACTTTGTTCGCTATATAGAGCTTCCAGGCCATGTTGTATTCATGCCTGTTGCAGGTCCTTGATGTCTTTAAGACCTCCGCTCTGTTAGGTTTGCTCAGAGCTGACCAATACATTCAAACAATACTGTTTGGTGGGAGGCTGTTGGAAAAGCAGATACACGTATACAGGGAAAATGGGATTTTGTAAACTTCATTTCCCTAAGAAATCAGATGAAATATGAAAGATGACAGAGATTGGAGAGTTGCAGGAAAGCAAGAGACTAGGACATGGAATTTGTTTTATTTTTAAAGAAGGGAACAGCAGGTTTGTAGGTAAAAGTTCTGCTATTGCAATAGCAATCCATGATCTCCAAACTTTTTGGCATAGCAGATCAGTGTCAAAATTTCCACTAGACCCTTTTCATCTCTCTTAGTGAGCTGATAGAAACCCTGTGAAGTTAGTGCAAATAATGTACTTTTGAATATAGTTTTGCAGGTTACTTTAGCATGACTTTACAGATCATTTGAGATCCAGAGACAACTCTTGAAAACAACTAATATGTGAATACCATATTCTTGACATTCTCCATGTAGTCAAAATATTCAGCTACCGCTAGGAAGCACATTTTCAATCATAATAGCAAATTATTTCAGTGAAAGATGAGAATATTCTACTTCATTTTCTTGTGCTTTTACATTGATACAGCTTTATTAGATGGGTGAGTTATCTGCACTTCATGCATTTAAACCTAGTATGATGACTGCCAAATTTAACTAATTATATATAGCAAACATATATAGCAAATATAACTAATTACATAGGGCCTTTGGAAATTCAGTAAAAGCTCTCTGTTCAGCCTACCTGAAGTTGGAACTTTGGACATGAGCGTAAGTGGGATTGATTGACCAGGATCAGGACAACACTGGGATTTTGATGGTGAGTCTATAGGGTATAATTAATTTTCAAACCTGTGTAAATTGTATCCATAATGAAATTGCTTTAAAACCTATAAAAACTGAGTATAGTACAAATTCATGAGGCCACACTCCCCCCTTTTTTGAGAGTCAGTTATTTAAGTCTTTATCAGTACACTGTATTTGATAGTCGTTATAATCTAGTATCACCGAAATAGCTCAGGTCTACTATAGCATACTGCATTATAGCTTACCCATTCTATCTCTTTCACAGGTTTTGCTGCTTTATGCTTATAATACAAAGCCTGTCAAGATTAGCAACATCAAGATTTTCAGTTCAATATCTATGTTTTCAGGCCACTTGTGGATTCCGTTGGCTAGGTAAATAATCATTGACTTTATGCTGTTATTTCATGCTATATTAAAGATCAGTCAACCATTTAGGATGAGAGAAAATAAAGTACAAAATATCAAAGAACTGTAAATCTTTAAAAGTATTCATTTTTGCTTTTCAGAAATTTTTCACTATAAAAACTGTAAGATGTCGTACACAGCATTAAACCCATCCAAACATATGTCTTTTCAGTACATTAGCATTTTAGTTTTGATTCTTAAAGAACTGAGTAACACACGCTGACTATATTACACTGGCATAGCAATGTAAGAAAACGCTAGCAAATCTAGGAAGCAGTCCCAGCAGTTATTCCCATTCTCTCACTGGATCAGCTGCTGTCTCCATCCCATATTACAACTCTGACCATGCAAGAATTTTTCTCAGTTGTAGCCCCAGACTCAGCCCTTCATTTTACATCCTATGGTGTTTTTCATCACTTTTTCCTTGTCATTCATCTAGTCTCAAGATTTTTGGAACTGCTGAGCAGGTGGAGGGGAAGGAATAACGGGCCAAAAAGAGTTGCAGCCCCTGCCACCCTTGTCCTGGTTGGATGAGAAAATCTTTTCTTAGAGAGGCATGCTTAAAATACTTCTTACCATTTTTAGTGCAAGAAGCAAATGCATTCCATATTTTCACTTTCTTTAATGGAAAACATCTTTTGTAAAATTATGAGATCAGGCTTGAAAAAGAAAAGGTAGAACTTAATCAATATGTAATAAAAGCTAGGTCAGTTTAATTATGTCCTGGGAACAACAAAAATTGTTGTTTTATAAGAGCAATAATGAAAAAAATCTTGTCTTCTTGCAGAGTTATTTCTTTACAGAAGAAATTATCTAATCTGAAGCAGCAAGTTGAAATGTTGATGCAAAGTTCCAAAAGCTTGTCTTCAGCTTCAGAACCTACAAGTTTTCTTGAAGAAAGTGAAACTGTGAAAAAAATTCCTTCAATAAAAACCAAAATTAATGTTGCAAAAGTGCATCTTGATGAAAAAACAGAAGTAAGTGAGAACAGTTCTGCTCTTAAATATGTCTGACGATTTAAGATGTCTGTTTTGGGTAAATAAATGACGTAACTTGGAAGGCAGACATAAAAAATTAAACTTCCCTCACCCCTTTCAAGAAATGTTGAAATATTTTCCCTTTTCATTTAATATTTAACTTTTTCTTTGCCTTATATATTGCTTGTCACTTTACAAAAATATCAGGCATCTTCAGCCTTCCACTTGAAAAATAAAGGCTACACCTTCAGGTACATAGATCTGAAAATTGATGCCTAATTTATAGTAATCTACATCTGAAAATGCTTGGTAGAGTGCTAAATTAGCATGGTGATCAACCCAAAAGTGCTTTTTAAAAATCAGTTACACATCTTCAATGCAAAATGGGCAGTGATGGTTTCTGAAACAAGAACCTTCTAATAACGTTATTGAGAGAGGACTAAAACTGGCAGTGAATTTATTTTCATTTTCTCTACGCCACCTTCCTCTTGTCTTTCTATTAGTAAGGCTGAATATGGTCCGCAACCAAATAAATCCCCCCACATACGCACACAAAAGAGGTAATTTCAGAATTTTCCATGTGGTCTGTTTGAGATAATGTCATTGGAATAGAATGTTGCCACAGCATAACTGCTGCTTGATAAATGCCAAGGCAAAATAGACGTTTATTTTCATAGTGGGAGACATTTATCATGTGACAGGATTCTCTTTATATCTATTATATGAAATGATTAATGATGTAGAGCCTGTCATTTTGTCTGATGGATGCTGTGAAATAGTGACAATTGTGCACTGTGCCATTATTACGAGGCTGTATTTTGACCAGCTTGGAGAACAAATGATGTTTTGGCCAATCAGTGTTTTCAGGAGGGTAGACAGAGCTGTCCTTTAGTGGGTGGTTCTGATTACCTGAAGGGTTTTGCTCAAACTTTCATTAATATATGTCAGTAATTGGAAAAACAATGTTTAGAATACTAACAAGATTAACGTGCTATGCATTATACATGTATAAATATCATCTTGTCAAGAGTGTTTGTTTATAATGTCTTCAGTAAACATGTAGCAAAAGTGTGCTCACTCACTGGATTTAATACCTGAGCCAGGGGCAATTTTGCCTCAGTAGAAACTGCAAGGTTTGGGCTCTTGTGTTTGTACAGCAAACACAACTATTTGTGCTGCGGAAAATTTATATTCATCAGCTGAGGTTTATTTTGCTGTGAATTCAATTAGAATAACCTCAAACTTGATTGTTCTGAAAAATTTTGTTAAAGCTAAGCCATCTATTAGCTTATCAGAGGGGATTGATAGTACAGCATTGGTTTTTTCTTGTTTTATACCATTAGGAAATGGCTAAAAGGTGTTTATCTGAAGTCAAAGCACTGCTGTCTGTTGTTCCAGCTCTGTCCTTGCCATTAACTGAGGTATGCTGTTCTCATTAATAGTAAAAATCTGTTTTCTAAAAGAAAACAATTGTTCGGTTAAACTGAAACATGGATTATACCACTAGGTATCTTCCCATTTTTTTCCTCATACATCGTTGGGCTTTCTGTTTGGGTTTTATTTTTTCATCTTTACAAATAAAACACAAATGTGCATGATTACAAACTGTGAATATCTTCACTGTTCATTAGAATCACCTTTTTATACATACAAAAATGTTTTAAAAATGAATCTCACTCACAGTGGGTTCATCTCGGTTATCTGCCATTCTCTGGTCATTGTTTACACAGACTCCAGTGAATTTCCACGGTGCAATCGCCAAATGCAATTTCCTTCCATCCCTGTGTTTTTACAGTTATTCAGGCTTTCCTTCTATTTTTGTTTAGCTTTCTCTGCCTTGCCCATGACATGTCCTGAGCGATAGCATGCCATTTTTTTGTCCATGCTGTTGCGTTCAACTTGTTACCCAGTTGTAGCCAGTATCCCAGAGGAGTCAATGGGAACCGGCCCATAGCAGGCAGCAGTACTCTTCAGGGTTCTCGGCCACCCTAGGGGGATCTGGAAAGGACCACAGCTGCCAGGGCTCAAGGAACTCCAAGGAAGATTTTGGAATCCACCGTAACGTATAACTCCCCCCCGCCTTAATCCTCAAATATCTTGCCTGTAATTGTTCACAATGAAATAATGGATAATGGCATCCACTGTACTCTTCTTTTCCAGTCAGGTAGCTCTTCCTACCAGAACAGAATCCCGAGTTTTATCTGGGAACAGTTTGGCTAGTGGCCTGTTCTAGAAGAGGTTATCTGTAACGCTGTCCCGTGCATCCTGCAGTCTGGTACCCAGCAGTACATACTTCCCTTTTACACATCTTGCACCATTCTTGCCACCCCTTGTTATCCGTCCTGAAGGTCTCTCTCATACAACTCCCAGACCTGCGTATCACCCAATCTGGCTTTATCAATGCATCAGAATACATACACGTTCATTCTGCAAATCCCTACTTTTCACAGTTCCACTGAAATATCTTCCATGGTAGAGAGACTTGACAGATACCTAGGGAAAGGTACAGCCGAGCTTTCACAGAATCACATGGACCTCCTGGACCTGTTTTATATTCTCATGAATTCCTCTTCACTTTGCCTGCTTCTTTTTGTGGGTCTATGATGAAAGTGAGGGAGCAGATTTGGGGTGTCCTTCCAGTAAGAATATGATGTTAACTGCTCTGTTTTGTTCTGGCTAAATGCCATAACAAGCTAAAATGTTTCAACAGGTGGAACAATGGGCTTTTCATCACAAATTTTCAGGTAGAGACTTCAAACTAAGATCCTATTAGATATGGCAGATTTGGCTGAGCAAGTGAAGCTTAATCCTTCAAGACGCTGAGTATCTTCATTCTTCTCTGAAGCCAACAGAACTTGTAGTGTCCAGCACTTCATTACGTATTGCATATTTCTAAGTAGTATTTCCAAACTTTCAAATAAGTTGTACGTGTGCATTACCCAGTCTCCTTGTCTAGAGGTGGAAAGCTCCGAGTGGGAGTACGTATACCATAGGGTAGTACATTCCCTTTGTTTTCAAGCATGCAGGAGAAAGCAGCAGATACATTGCTTATGTGTAGTGTTACATAATTTTTCCCCACCACACGCTTTTTTGTTGCTCATCTTCTTGTAAATTAATTGGACAAAGTCAGTTCTTATTTGTGGTACTTGTTTTCTTATTCTCTGAGCTGTCACACTTTTAACTCCTATCATGTTTCCAGCTTCCCTCCTTTGATTCTCTTTTTTTCTGTTCATGTGTCTTACAGTGCTTTTGATTCAGCCCTGAATTATATTTCTAAGTGGAAAAAGTGCATTTTTTATTGAATTATTCATTTAAAATTATTTGACTGTTCATGTTTTAAGAATAAAAATTGATCAGCTGCCTTGTTTTTAAAGCTCTTCAACGAATAGCTATGTTCTTGAGGGACATAATAAAGCATAGTCTTTGGGAGTTCCAATCTTAAACGTTAAAAGTAAATTGCATTAAAAATAATTGCATTAAAAATTAACCTCCCTAGATAGCCTGTTCCAAGCTTCTCTTCCCTTAGTTAGTTTTTCTTAATCTCTAAATCAGCTAAATAGTTCTTTTCCATGTCCAATGGACATACAGACCAGTTCATCATTGCCCTCAGTTTCACCTTTTAGTTAGTTCAATTCTTTCAAATTCTCATCTTAGGAAAAGCTTTCCAAGTAACTAATCGTTCCTGCTGCTCTTCTCTGATATCTTCATTTTACCTACAGATGATCAGGGTAAACTCTGTGAGCAAGACTGTTCACAGAAATCTCCTCCCCTTTATCCTGTTTTACTAGTTTCCTGCAAGAGATGTCATTAACTACAAATTTATATTGAAGCAATGAGTATTTCTAAATTTTTCATTGGTTGTAGGTCAGGAATCTGGCTTTAATATGGAGCTATTTGTATATATGTACTTTTTGGTACCCATAAGCTTAATAAAGTTAGTTATTTGGGTTTTTTTTCCCCCTGTTTTTTTTTCAGATCCCGTTTGATATTACTTTGCAATCAATAGCAAGTTTGGAAGATATGTTTGATCCTGCCAATGGATGTATAATAACTGAAGAAAGTCTCTTCAATTGGATCATTTCTCTGTTTCACTAAATTCTATTTTTGCAATAACTTAATCAGTTGCTGAGTGCTATAGATTTAGACTTAAGTTCTGGTGTTAATCAAACAACCTCATTAATCACACCAGGATTTGGCTCCTAATGTGTTTTATAATTTTCATTTTTAGCTTATTTCTAATTATTAAAAAATTAATAGTTTTTAAAATGAAAATACACTTTTAGGAATTAAATGTATTAAAAGTAGTTTCTTAATAAGAGGATTAAAATTTTGATTTATTCAATCAACTATAATTAAGTGAGTTTGTTGGGGACTTTCTAGCTTTTCAATAATTTCTTATTGTTTAGAAAAGCTGAATAAGCTTGTAACCTTCTAGCATCCACTAATAGATACTGTTTTTTCCCTGAAGTTTTATTCTCATCAGCAATTTTTTAATTGCTTTTGCAGTTATCAAAAGTTGGTCTTATTTCTGAGGTTGAGAAATTTTTTTGGCCTAAAATCATCACTGAGTTTGTTCTTTTACACTTTTATTTGGAAACTAGCATATCAGACTTTTCTATCTTTTGTTAAAGAAAAACACATCACGGTTTGTTGAGGGTGAAAACGATCATTCAGATGTCTCCACAGTTTCAAAGCATTTTTCTGGGGGTGTGGCAGGAAGCCATTTTAAAAAATAAAATTGTTCTATATAGAACATTTTTGGACATCATTCTAAAATGCTAACAAAACCTCTATTTACGTTGTTAATGCTGTAAATATTAAAGTGCTGAAGAAACCTGACGAGTCCTAACAACAGCCACCTGAGGCAATATGCTTGTCCAGTGTTAGGGATGGGGAATTTGACACGAAAAAGTGCGTGAGTTCACAAGGCCGCACGAGAGAGTGCTCGTGCTCACGGCCCTTGGCTTTTGCTCACATCACAAGGCCAGGCACTTCCTCGC